GTCAATAATGTGTGAACTAGAAAAGAACCTCCACATAACTCAAGGGACTTTTAATTATCTTCCCTTCTTGCAACTCAGAGGGTTTTTGTTTTGTTTTGTTTTGTTTTGTTTTTTGATAGTCATTTGCTTCAATCAGATACATAGTATTTCTTATTGTTAAAAAATCTTCTTGGGTTAAGGGATTTAGCCCAGTTGTTAGAGTACATGTGTAGTATGTGCAAGGCCCTGGGTTAAATTCCCAGCACAAAAAAAATTAATGAAATTTAAAAATAAATCAAAATTCAAGAAGTCTTCTTGGAGAGACATATAAGTACAAAATTGAGGATAAACAAAAATACCTTTCAGAGTATATCCTCTAGATTGTGAATTTTGAAGGTAATTCAACAAAATAAAGCCAAAGCTTTTAAAGCATTGATGATCAGGACTTTGTAACATTGTGGGCTTTGTTGCTTTCTACAAATTTAGTTATTATTTCCTTTGGATACTGATGTAGATGGTAAAGCTATACTTTTAGATTGCTTTGAAATGACTTTCTCACTTCTAGAAATGCCTTCCATTAGTGGGGAGATGTGGAAAGAAGTGAATTCTGCCTATGAATGTCTGGCAACTCACCCTACTTAGATGAGAAGGAAGACGTCTTTTCCTAGAATGAGTCTTCTCATTAGAATCAGTCTTACCTCTTATCTTTGTTGATGACCAAATTACCTTTAATTTTTAGGGGAAAATAGGCACCAGACATCATCCTTCCTGAAGATTAGGTTAGAAAGTTTTGTTTTTGAAACTAGGATATTTGTTCTAGAAAAACAAAAAATAACGAAACAGAACTATTCATCCTTCAGAAAATAATCAGCAAACACTATTGAATGGCTTTTTGCACTAGCCCCACAGTTACATGTTGCAGGAGCTACAAGGGAAGACTTGAGTCTTGTTTTTTGTTGTTATTTATTTATTATTTACTTATTTATTTAGCAGGTGCTCTACTACTTGAGATATACCCTAGCTCCTCCCCCAATTTTTTTTAACATAGGGTCTTATTATATAGCCCAGGCTGGCCTTGAACTTGTTATCCTCCTGCCTCAGTCTGTGGGATTTATAGACATGTACCATCATACTCATGACTCAATTCTTGGTGGACATCTGTAGCTTGCACCTGTAATCCTAGTTACTTGGAAGTCTGAGATCTGAAGGATTGTGGTTCGAGGCCAGCCCAGGCAAATAGTTCTGGAGACCCCATCTCCAAAAATAACCAGAGAAAAACGGACTGGAGGTATGGTTCAGATGGTAGAGTGCCTGTTCTGCAAGTGTGAAGCCCTGAGTTCAAATCCTGGTCCCCCCCAAAAAATCAATTCTTAGGGCTGGTTGCATTACAAAAGTGAAGCAAGACAATAAGGTTCCTTTTTCCTTATTTAGAATGTTGTTCCATTATGGAGTTTTCCCAAAGTATTCCATTTAGTTTTTGTTGCTATAATTCTTTGTTTTTATATTTGCTTTATTTAGAATTATAACTTTATTTAGATGCAACTCATGATATCATAAAATTGACACTTTTAAAGTATACCATTCACAGGTTTTAGAACCTACAGTTAGATAACTATTACCAGTATCTAATTCCAGAATATTTTAATCACCCCCAAAAGAAATCCTATATCTATTAGCAAGTACTTTGCATTTTCTCCTAGTCCAGCCCCCATGAGTCTTTTTGTCTCCACAGATTTGCCTACTTAGACTCCTTTCCCTTCGCATGTTTTCAAGGCTAATCCATGCTGTAAGATGTATCAGTACTTCTTCCTTTGTACTGCTGGATAACATTCCATTGTATAGATAGATCACATTTTGTTCATCTACTAATCAGCTGATTATATTTGACTTCCCACTTTTTGGCTTTTAAGGTCCTTTTTTCCTCCATGCTTAATTTTTTAAATTAGCAGAATGTGTTTTTTAGAGAATATTTAGAATTTACAGAAAATTGAGTCTCCCTGTATCCCCCCACCCCACACACACATACAAGCACACACACTATTAACATCTTACAATGCTCTGGTACCTGATACATTTGTGACAACTAGTGACCCAACATTGGCATATTTTTATTAACTAAAGTCCACAGTTTGTTCAGAATCCTTAGTTTTAGCTTAAAATCCTTTTTCTGTTGGAGTATCCTATCCAGGAGGGCACATTTCATTTTAGTAGTCCTGTCTCCTTAGCCACCTCTTGACAGTTTAGACTTCTTTCCCTTGTTTTGGTGACCTACCCAGTTTTGAAGAATATACAAGATTCTCTTCTATTGGAATTTGTCTGGTTCTGTCATGATTAGTCCAGGATTTGGGGGAAGTGAGAATGCTACTTTAACAAATCACATCAAGGGTATATATGCTCAACGTGATTTATGGCTATTGCTGGCCTTCATCACCTGGTGAAGTTGTGATTATTAGGCTTCTCCACTGAAATGGGGGGCTACTCCCCCCTTTATGCTGTAGTTTTTGGAAGAAAATCACCTGTACAACCCACACTAAAGTAGTGGGGAATTATGCCCCACCTGTGAGGGTGGAGGTTCTACATACTTTATTTGGAATTCTGCGAGAGACATTTCTCTTCCCCATTTGTTAATTTACTCAGTCATTTATGTGGACTCGAGGATATTGATTTGATGCTTTGAGTTCTAATTTTTATTTACTTTATTGCTCATTGTTCCAGCTTTGGCCAGTGGGAGCTCTTTCAGTTGGCTCCCGTGCCCCTTTGACATATACCCATCAAGGTGGAATTTTTTCTTTTGTTTCTTACATTCTTTCATTTGTAAATAACCCAAATCCCCACAGAAGGCGACTTTAGGAAAACTAACAATACTCCCTATTGCAGGTAATCGGATTCCTGGGCTGATGGAGGCCTGTACTTCTCCAGCAGGGGGTGGAGGGAGTCTCAGGGAGTATCAGCGTGAATAAGACACCTGTCCCAGCTCTCCTGGAGCTTAGAGGATCACACAAATAGGCACTGGTAAGTTTGGGATGCAAACACAAATCTGTGATACTCAAACCTCTATTTGTCCTATACTTCAAGCTGTACATAACTTGAGAGCGTTAGAGAGTAAAAACCTCAGGAGCAAAAAGACTTGCATGGAAGGTGCCAGCTACTTTATACTACCTTTAATCCCAAAGGCATGAAGCTACTTTTTGATCATTTTGCCCTGATTTCTCCATGAAAATTCATTGTCATTTTACAAATGGAAGATTAACTATATGACTATGAATGGCAGATACATTATTCTTTTCTGCTTCATTAGACACCACATATTTTTTCCCAGGTGGGTGAGTTTCAAATTAGTGTGTACCGTAGTTTAGTATTTTATCAAATAGGGGTATTTATATAACAAATGTTTATATTCCACCATACTGCTACTTTAGTCTTGAGCTAACTCAAATGAAGCCAATCTAAAGATCTTGTTGCTTCAAAATGTCAGGTGAGTCAGTTCAACAGCCAGTGTCATCCTGCTCCTCTGCAGTGTGGATACTGAATGATGACTCAGTGATTCAGCTGAGTGCAATGATACCGCAGTCCAATCTTTCCTCATTTAAGGTTCTTGTTTTTACTGTAAATGCTTCCTATCTGAAAAGAATGAATGAAGGGGGTGGGGGAGAGAAGGGAGGCAGACACCTGTATACTGAGTGCTTCCCTTTGGTGTTGTGGGGCCACTTTGGGAAAACAGAATTTTTTTTTTATGGTGAAGCCAAATTAGTTAGAAAAAGGAACCCCATTAAGAAAAAGAAAATAAATATCAGTTATCCTTGTTGTGTAAGTATATTGTTTTGTGTATGATAATAATATAAAATGTATTTTTTAGTGTGGTGAAATGTTCAAAGGAGTTGGACAATCACTGCTATAAGGGGCCTAGGGGGATTTTTTTTTTTTTTGTGGCATTACTGGGGTTTGAACTCAGGGCTTTGCACTTGCTAGGCAAGCACCCTACTACTTTAGCCATGCCTCCAGTACTAGGATAATCTTTTTCAGCCCTCTTGAGTCACTTCACCCTGAACTTCCACAGCCTTTCCTGAGAATTTGAGTCAGGGACAGTATTTTGGGAGTTTGTGGGGGAGGGTAGTAAGGACAATGAGACACTCCTGGATTGCAGCCCGTAGCTAAAACATGAAAAAGTTATGCCTATAATCCCAGCTACTCTGGAGGCCGAGGCAGGATCGCAAGTTGTCTGGCAATCCAGGCAAAGTTAGCGAGACCCTATTTCAAAAACAAAATACTAAAAACCAAAGGACGTGGGGGCGTGGCTCAAGTGGTACAGCGCTTGCCTGGCGTGTACAAGGCTCGGAGTTCCCCAGTGGGTGGGGGAAATACAGCCCACCCTTCCGCATGAAGACCGAATCCACAAATGAAAACGGGGCATTCACCATGTATGAAACAGGAAAGCATCCTTTTACTGGTGCACATCTTTAAAGAACATCGTATACCTGTCAGCCACCACCCCCCACCCCTGCCAAATTCTGTCTTCAGGAGAGAGGCCTGAATGTGGAGGGTGTTCGAAGTTGTTGCGTATCCTCTTTTCCTACCTTGATTTTATTTGCGCAGTTTTAAAAGCGCGTGAACAGCCCAGGCGACGCGAGGCCAGCTGGCTGGTTTAGACCCTAAGAGTGAAGCATCTTCCTTGGTGGCGAGTGGATGCGGGGAGGAGGGAGCTGAGGACTCCTCCCGTGAGGGGTGTTTGCGCAGCCGACCCTCCTCATTGGACTGCGTCTGGAGGAAGTGGCATCGCACGGAGGTAAGGGAAGAATTGGATAAAGGGGGGGGGAGTGCACCCCGCAGGGGCTCTGACAAGCTTCGATAAAAGGCGAAGTGCATCTTTGGCAGGCGGTGTTGGAAAGGAGGAGAAACAGGGAAAAAGCGAAGCCTCCAGGGGTAACCGGGAACGGTCCGATCCAGCTTGAAACGCATCTGGAGCAGCCCGCCCGAGCCAGGTGAGCAGCCGCGGTGCCCGCGACTGCAGGACCTGCTTCTCCATGAACTTACCAAGAGCCGAGCGCCTTCGCTCCGCCCGGCAGCCCAGCCTCCGAAGCTGGGGCGCCGAGGACGGTGAGATCGACGTCCTGGGAGATGAGGAAGATGACGACGACGAGGAGGACGACGACGAGACTCAGGGGAGCCCCAAATGCCTAGAGCAGCGGCACCAGCCCGGGCCCCAGGGGGCGCGGCGGGGCGCGGGCGCAACGCCAGGAGAACCCTCCGAGGGCGGCGGCGGCCCAAGCCCCGCCACCGAGTTTGGCAGCAAATTTCGGGCACCGACTGGGCCGGCGGTGGCCTCTGGGGACGCCCCGGCGCTGGCGAAGCCCCCCTACTCGTACATCGCGCTCATCACCATGGCCATCCTGCAGAGCCCGCACAAGCGCCTGACGCTCAGCGGCATCTGCGCCTTCATCAGCGGCCGCTTCCCCTACTACCGCCGCAAGTTCCCCGCCTGGCAGAACAGCATCCGCCACAACCTGTCGCTCAACGACTGCTTCGTCAAGATCCCCCGCGAGCCCGGCCACCCCGGCAAGGGCAACTACTGGAGCCTGGACCCCGCCTCCCAGGACATGTTCGACAACGGCAGCTTCCTCCGGCGCAGGAAGCGCTTCAAGCGCCACCGCCCGCCCGCGGGAGGCCACCTGCACCACCCCTTCCCTCTGCCCGCCGCCCTGCACTGCCCCCACCCGGGCCTTCTGCTCGGGGCCCCCGTCCCGCCGCAGCCTGTCCCGGCCACCTACTCCGCCGCCGCCCCCGGGATCCGCCGGTGCGCGCTGCTGCATCCGCACCCCCTTCGCTACCTGCTGCTCTCCGCCCCGGCCTATGGCCGGGTGCCACCGAAAGCCGAAGGCGCGGACCTGGCGAGCCCGGCCGCCCTTGCGGCGCTGCAGCCCTCGCTGGGCCCCGAACTCTGGAAGGAGGGCAAAGACCTGGCATCTCAGCCGGGAGGCGGGTGTGCCTCCTTCAGCATCGACAGCATCATGCAGGGGGTCAGCGGCTCCGGAGTGGGGACAGCGCCGAGTCTGTCCCCGACTCCCTGGGGCTACAGCCACCTGCTGCAGCGCCCGTCCTGCCTGCTGCACCACCAGGCCGCTGTCCCCTTGCTGCGCGCGTCGGCCGCAGCCGCCCGGGCCATTTTGCTGCAGCAGCACGGTGGCAGCAATTGCGCTCCCCGCAAAGGCACGCTGCCCGGCCAGCACCTGCCTGCTGTCGCCGCGCTGCAGAGGTACCAGCATGCGGCCAAGGACTCCGGGCTTACGTCGCCCGGGCCTCCCCTCGGATACAGAGGGGACCTCGTCGGCCTTTTGAGCAGCTCTGGTCCACTCTGAGGGCAGGCACACCTGCGGTAGCAAGGTGGCAGGACGGAGACACCCGCCGCCTAGGCCTGGGCATCTAAGTCCCGCCGCCCAGCAGCCCCGAAGTTGTGGTCACTGCAGAGTTGTTACCAAGGAGCAGACGCCCAAAGCCAGTGTGGTCCTGGACGTCGTCTCACCTTTTCTTTTCCCGCCTTCAATTGTGACTTTCACAGCTGCTCCGATTTGCACTTTTGCCGAGGAACGTGAGTGGGGTATTTTGCGCTGGTATTAAACGAAAAACAAAACAATCTCTAACACAAAAACGTGTTTCTTCACTCTGTAGGAAATGCGAGCATTCCCAAGTGCAAAATGCTTACACTCTGGGACCTCCTGAAAACCCATGTGTAATATATGTAGAATTTTAATTTCAAAACATTTATCTGTGTCTGACGTGTCATATACCACAGGGAAGTATTAAAATTGATCCTAACTATATAGATTAAATAAAATCACTACACTATATCGTTTATATTGTAACTTGTCTCTTTATTCGCATTCTCAGTGGAACCATTTTTAAAACTTATTCTTTCCTCGCACACAATTAACTTGTATTTATGATTCATTATCGATGTCGGGAGACGCCCATTTTCAATGTGGCTTTTAAATTTCTGGATATTCGAATCTGACAAATTTTTCCTTTTAAAATAGATTTTGTACTTATGAACCTTCTAAAAAACTTTAGAGGCACTGTAAATATAATCTCCATAAATATAATCTCCATTATCTTCCCTTTCCCCTTCCTTTCTTTCCTTCCTTTCGCCTTCCTCTCTTCCTTCTTACCTTCCTTTCTCTCTCTCTCTCTCTCTCTCTCTCTCTCTCTTTCTCTCTCTCTGACTCAATCCTGCCTCAAGCTCCAGAGTGCTGGGATTACATCATGGACCGCCAACGCCCTGCGCATTTTCCATTTTTCTAAAGACGTTGAATTTTATTTTTCCGAATAAGCTGGAGAGTGATTTGAAATCAACTTGGAAGGTAGCAGACATTTACTCAGGGAAAATAAAAGGGCCATGTATACTAAAGTACTAGAATTTTTGAAGCTCTTTTTCTTAAAAAAAAAAAAATCTTAAGGGACTGTGCAACCATCAGTAAGCTTCAGGTGACTAGGGAGAGAAACACGCGAGACGCCCTTGGTGAAATGCTGTCCGAAAAGAAGGCAATTTTTTAAGAGATGCTCTGAGGGTTCAGGTTTCCTGAGAATCTTACTCCGCGCGGCTTTGACCAAAGCCACTGTGGGAATGTAAGAAAGTCTTCCCTGGTCTACCCACCCTCAGCCGTGAACTGCTCATTTCAGAAGGAAATTTTTCCTTCCAGCTTCTCATCCACCCCATTACTTGGAACCTTTTTGATGGGTCCTACCTGGGACCCCCGTCCCTCCCCGGTTTGTGGGGCGCTCTGGGAGGTGCCCAAGCCTCATCCTTAGTGGCTGCAGGCGGTCAGCTTGGCTCCTGCTCTCCCCTCTGCTGGAGCACACTCCAGGGCTTGCCCAGTCTGAGAATTAGGAAACCGAGGATGAAGGGGCTTTATTTTATTCCCAGTTCCTGCGAGCCCAACTCCCCTTTGCATTTTGCGCGAAGATGTCCCTAGACTTTCCGTTGTTCATGTATTCAGTTAACGACCTTCCAAAGCCGCCTTCACCTGCACCGCAATCAGAATTGACCCCCTCCGGGCGTTGTCCACGCCCACGTCCTTCCTTCCCTCACCTGAGGCCACACTAGCACAGCCATGCATGTGGGTGACCGTGACCAAAGGCCAGAGCCCGGCCCAGGTCTGCCCCCAGCTCCTAATTTTTCCCTAAAGAAGCCGAATCGAACGACGACTTTCCAAGAAAACCATCGATTCGGTGGTAAAAAAAAAAGTTAAACTTTGTTTATCGATGGAAAGTGGCGCTCTGGCGCGGACAGCTCGGGCGTCCGAGTGGGAGCCGCATGGGGTGCCTAGGGGACAGTGTCCCGGCGCTACCACCAGTGCGGTGCCACACCTGCGGGACACCAGCGGCGGGGCGCGGAGTGCGCGGGGCTGCACGGCACACACGGCCGCAGCTCAGGATCCCAGGTTCAGAGCCTCTCTGGTCCCGCGCGTCTGTCACCCTGTCTCTGGGATTGAACAGCAAATGGCGTCTGGCCAGCCGGTCCCCACCCCCAAACCCCGCGCGCGCCACACACATGCACACGTCTGCCAGGCACGGGATCGTGAGAACCACAAAACCCCCATTTTGCACAGAAGAAATTGCCACTCAGAGGTATGAAGAAAATCGTGAGGACCCCTGGGTCCGGTGGGTTTTGAACCACTAACTCCGCGCGTCCGCATCTTCTGGGCCTCCCGCGGGCGGAGGAGGCCGAGGCCCCGTATTCTTCCTTCCGCCCGGGCTCCGGGTGACCGCAAGGCAGGAGGCCCGGTTCTCTTCTTAGACCCAGGCGTCGGGGAACGCGTTCCGGAGCCGCGGGAAGGTTAAGGACAGGAGCCCACCTGGTCCCGCCTCGCCCAGGCAGAACTGGAGCGAGGGACAGAAGTTTACCCGAGAGGATCCCCAGTCCTTCGCGCTCCTCCTTCCCGGAGTGACCCTCTTTTGTTCTTTCCCCTCTTGGTCCCTAAGAACCCAGGCACCCTTTTAAGTAGGTGTCATTGATCCCCGCCACCCACCCGAAGCCGCCGCCTCCTCCCGGCCGCCCACAGCCCCACGTTTCCCCGCGCATCCAATTCCTCCCCCGAATCTACTGCCCACTTCGCGCCCCGCGCGGGCACTGGATCCCGACAGCGTGAAAGGTGTCCGGGAGTAAGGCTGCGCAGACCTGGGACGAGGGACGCAGGGTAGGGACTAGCTCTCTGCTCACCAGGCCCTGGTCCACTGGAGTAAGAGTGCAGGTGGGATTGGAAGCACCTGGGATCATGGGCTCCTCGGGGCTGGCAAGGAGCTGCGAGCCAAGAAGCCCAGGTGCCATCTGGTGCGACCATAACCTTCTCCACGCCACAATGCTTTACATGGAGTATCCAAAATGAACAGTACTTGCTTACACATATGGGATGTAAGCAATTGGTTCAGGAATGTGTCATTTCTACCCTACCTTAAGTCACACGCCCCAGCTCCATTCATTTTGACTCCGATTCAGTAATAAAGGGTTAGACACAGAATCTAGAGATACACCAGAAACCAGGAAAACATTGAAATCAAAGGCGATAAAGAACTAACAAGGCTGGCAGTGATATCAAGCAAGTGGTGTCTTTTCCTATATTTGTTTCCAAGTGTGGGACACTAGGTTCTTATTCCTCCCCAGCATTTGGAGGAAAACGGTCAGAAATGTCCCTCCACATTTGTATATGGCTACAATTAAATAGTAATCTTATTTTAACTGCTAACGTCACCATCCTGTAGTTTTTACAAAAAAAAAACTTTAATAGCTGTTTTTCATGTCAGCACTGAAATTATTTCAATAGGTTTTAAGCATTCATTGAGCCCATAGACATCACTAGCTTTAAAGAACTTATGCAGGTGATAGCTAACACACAAATCTGTTGCTCCCAAAAGAAAAATTAGAAGTAGGAAAAAACAAGGATTTGGGAATACTGTATGACATTCAGTTCACCTTTATCCCCTGTTGCTCTTCCACCTTAACATAGTCAAGGTTTACCTGAATATAAACATGACTTTCTCACTCACAGGAGTACCTTTATTTAAATCAGTAATTAAGAGTATTTTGGGGATAGGGGAGGTCCTTCACTTGGGGGTGGGGAATGTAGTTCAGTGGTAGAGGGCTTGCCTAGTCTGTGCACAAGGCCATCTTGTTCAATTCCCAGCACCAGAAAAAAAGAGAAAAAAATTGTTTTACAGTTATGGTTTAGTGAATCGGTTTCTACTCTCAAATCCAGGCAAGGAGAACAGTGAGGTTCAAGGAGCAGGAGAGAGTCCCTTTTCTTTGCTATGTAGTGCAATGACACTATTTAGAATCATGTTTATCACCTGTAGCTTCTAAAATTAAGGTGACTCTTACTGTGTTCACCAGAGTATCTGTTATATAAGATATACTGTGCCATACAACAATGCTTTTTCTTTCATTTAATTTTTTTTAAAAAATGGAAACTTCCAAACATGTACAAAGGCAGAGATTAGTTTAATTAACCTCTTACATTTTATTATAATGTCTCATATTGTAATTAATCCCTTAGCTAAGCCAACCTTGTTTCATCTTTACTGACAGTCCTCTGCCCACTAGATTATTTTGAATCGATTCTGAGCTTTCCTATAATTTCATTCATAAATATTTTTGAATATTTCTATAAAATATAAGAATTTTCATCAGTTAAACACGTTACCATTGTCAGACCTAAATAATTCATTGATAACATTAATCTATCCAGGAAATACTTAAATATACCCAATTGTCTCAAAAAAAATTTTCAGGTTGATTAGTTTGAACTATAATGAGAATAAGGGTCACACATTATATTTGCTTGATGTGGTCTTTTATGTCTCTTTTGGGTTTCCCCAGCACTCTTTTTTATTTTCTTAGCTTTTTGTTGAAGAAATTCAATTGCCCTGAAGAATGTGACAATCTAGGTTTTCTGGCTACAGGTAATATTCTTATGTCAAGATATATCCAGAGATAAGGTTATTTCTTTAGACTTTTGAACATTAGCACATAATATTGTTTGTAGCAGGACAAAAAAAGGGCCTGAGGAAGCTGATGTGAAATATTCCTGAGTGTAAATATAACCTTTTCATACAACTTTAGAAATAGATTATCGCTATATTTATAGAAAGATATTTCTAAGCTACTAATCAGATATCTCATCAAAAATTTACATCTGGTTATATTGGGGTGAGAATAAAGTTCTTTTTTACTTTTAAATTTTAGTCAAAGAATCAAAGGCATTTTATGTTTTTTTTTAAATTTTAGAATGTAAATAATGTCATAATTTTCAGTAAGGATCAGGTTAGTGTAATAGCACAAATTCTGTGCTTATGAAAATAAAAATCA